CGACCCGAAGAAAACTAGCGGGGCATGTATTCTGGGAGACAAAAGTTGTCGCTACGTTAATAGCAAATCAATGCCGGAAAAATCAATTGAAGAATACAACGATGTTGCTGTTGTTGTCGTTGTCGTTGTTGTCGTTGTCGTTGTTGTATTGTTATTTTTGTGTTGTTATGTTGTTGTTGCCGTTGTTGTTGTTGTTCATTTTTATTTATTTCAGGCAATGATAAGTAAATTCTGTTATCACTAAATAATAAAAAATTCGGCCACATCGTTATTTCCTGATTCGAAACTTCAAAAACTTTGTCAGCAATAATCCGTGGTCTTTTTAAACTGCAACAAAACAAAGAATAAAAATCTGCTACATTTACATAAAATGATACCTATGATACATTTACATGAAGAAGCTGACTGAAGATCTATGAATAATAGTGCAATTATATTTCCTTCAATCTTCAGGACAAATTTTCAGCAGAATCTTAAATGATTAGTATTTAATAAACTAAATGTTAATACGCATTAAACAAGCAACAATATTATACTTATCATATGAATAAATAAATAAATAAAGATATATAAATATATTGTATAAAGTTAGATAGTGTGTATTTTAAAATGATTTCAAGTCCATAATAACACAGCTCCTGCTCTTTTCATTACTCCGTACTATAGCACAAATTATAAATGCTAATGAATCTCGGAGAAATATTTTAATTACACATCATTACGAAATGAGGTCTGCATGCCATCTTTTTTAACAATCATTTGTTATGCAGTTTAAACATTATCCTTATCGTCGTCATCCTCATCATCGTCATCATCATCGTCGTCATCCTCATCATCATTTACCTAACGTTCGTCGTCTCTTCTACTGCATGCAAATAAAGAGAAGCAAGCCAATATGAGCAGGACGCACGGACTGGTGCATGCATGCATACTTCTATATACTTAATCACACAAACATATACAAATATCATATATAAAAAAACACACATTGTATAGATATATATATATATATATATATATATCCATATGTATGCATATAACTAGTTTCTATGCTTACACGTGAAAACAAAATGAAAATTGACGTTTTGTGTGTATGTAAAACAGTAAAAAGATGAAAAAATGGTAAAAAATAGACATGCATAGAGGGCTTGGAAGGGGGAGGACATGCATGGGTTTTAGATTTTAAGAAGCATCAAAAACAAAAAGTTGAAGTGATCTATGGATCTTGGTCACATTTTTCCTACTCATCACACAATATTTAGAAATATGTGTACAGTTACGTGTTAACTAACCCGAGCTTCGTAAGGTTTTCGCAGGCCTTATATGTATAAAAATTATCCCTTCGTAATCATTTTTAACGCTGCTGCTGCAACTTAGATTTGTCGCAAGATACTCAAAGTTCATTTCAATTTCAGCAAGGAGGTAAGCAGTTTTTGTATTAAAAGTCATTGTTTTAACCAAAAATGTCTTTTTGGACAGGAAATAACGTGATAAGAAAAAATGTCATCAGCCATAAAATGTTGAAACATTTTGCTAAATTTCCCCCAGGCAACGTTTGAAAATTTTGAAAATGTAAGTCCCCGGTCTCCCAGCTAAGGTTGTCTAGATCCGCCACTGACAGCTTAAGTCAAAATAAGCAACATTGGCTTCTTATGCCAAAAAGAGTTATGTTCAAATTAGCTCTCCTTGTCAATGGTCCAAATTAGAACTACTCCAATAAGTATTTGAAGTTGCGAACCAAAGTAGACTAAAATTCTCTGATAATAGAGATCTTGTGCTTCAAAGATTCAATTCTTTGCGCTTTGGTAAAGGAAGCTTTTCAGCATCGTCAGCACAAATTTGGAATGACCTATCCGTTGAACAAAAAGAATCCGACAGGAGAGGCGCTTAACAAGTCATGAAATACAATACTATGCAAGAATATCTTTTCGTTTGTATACATTATATTTATATTGATATTTTGATATGATGAATGGATGAGAAACGATTGTATGTTTTTGTTGAATGTTGGTTTTAAATTTGAATGAAGAATAGATGAATTGTTATGATGGATGGATGAGGAATGATTGGATTTGACATGAAATTACTTATTTGTCATATAATATCTCTTATCAACAAAGGGGCTATGTATATGTAGATTTTCGCCGGGCGACATTCGAATTCCGCACCACGCGGTCCCGAACCGCGTCCGCATACGAATATCCACTCGAGCCTTCGCTTCG